CTATTGCTCTAAGTGTTTAAGGGGTTATTTGTCCCAGGCGTTCATTGGCACCATTTTGGAGCATTGGTGCCATTGTTGACTAACAAATTGAAGACCTTTGCACTGAAACACTCCATCCACACATCTTCTACCATTTATCCAGATGTGGGTCGTAGGCACAGCAGTCTAAGTAGAAATGCCTAGGACCCCCTTTCCCCAGCCACCTCTTCCAGCCCTTCTGGGGGGACACCAAGGCATTTCCAGGCCAGCCGAAAGACACAATCTCCAGCATGCCCTGAGTCTGCCCTGAGGCCTCCATCCAGTTGGACATATCCAAATCGTCTCACTCAGGAGGCATCCTAATCAGATGCCCACACTACCTTAGCTGGCTCATGTTGATGTGGAGGAGTAGCAGCTCTACTCTGAGCTGCACCCAAGTGACCTATCTCCTCACCCTATTTCTAAGGGAGCGCCGCCGCCACCTTTCAGAGGAAGCTCATTTCTGTCACTCATATCCACAATCTCATTCACTACCCACAGCTCGTGGACATACAGTAGATGAGGCTACACTAAAACTGAAAACTTTGGTACAGCATCCACATCACTGTCTGTCAAACATGGAGTAGCAAAGGGTGGCTACTTTCAGGAATCTACAATATAAGACATATTTAGAGTTATTTATTAATTTTGCTACATAATTCCATATATCTTGCTTCATATATTTGATGTCTTCAGTATGTATCTACATTGTAGAAAGTAGTAAAAGTAAAGAAAAACCATTAAATGAGAAGCTGTGTCCAAACTTTTGACTGGTAGTGTATGTTCCTCCACACTACGTTTCTAACGTTAACCGTGTACCGTGTACGTTAACCTCATGTTTTACCTGAATTGAGAAAGGATGTATAATGTAAATAGAATTGGTCCTAGCACAAAACCATTTTTTTGTTTGGAAAAGCAGGATGGAAATTTTTAAACTGTTTTTTGAACATTTCTGGCTCTTTTCAGACTTTTTTTTAAAAGTAATCAGTGAGCTAAAATGTGGGGAAAAAAGAAATAAAATTGCTAAGCATCAGCAGGAACAGGTCAGACAAGTTAAAGCGTTTATTGGTCTGAGCGGTGTGTTCGCCGGTTGCCTTGGGGGTGTCGTCCTTTGTAAGCCGTGCCATTCATCCCTGCACGGCCGGCAGCAGGCCCAGCCTCGCTCTGTTGTCCGTCTGTGACTGTAAACACACAGCTAATTAGTGCTCCCTACAGACTGCAGCGCGGCATCTGGTCAGCCTGACGCGCACAGCCATACACAAACGGAGGCACGCCTGTGTGTGTGTGCATGGATAATTGCACCATATACATGCAAATGACAGATTTGTGCACACATTGCCTCAAACACGAGCAGCGTATCATACAGAGAATCCCAGACACACTAGTGGGTGTTATGTTTTCCCAGCCAACCTCTCGTGTATGTTCTCTATTAACAGGCGGTGGCTGGCGCTGCTCACATTCCTGCTTTTCTGGCATCCATCCTCAGCCTTATCATAATGAGGACCCTATCCTGGGCCCTCAGGCCCCGGTGGCTTGTTTCTGTCTGCCTTTGATGCCAATCTGAGGGCCAGAGAAGTTTTTTTTTTTTTTTTTTTTTTGCTTCGTTGTTTGACCGGATGAGTCGAATACAGAGTGCATTCCTTACCAAGTTGTTAAGAGAGGAGTGGTTTAAACACATTCACAGTTGGGGGGACTTCCCGCTTACCGAGCATTCCTGTGCATCAGAACAGTGATCAATCACCTCGCTCTCAGAGGATCTGGTTTATGATTGAACTGCAAAGTTTTAAGAGAAGGTTCTTTATTTCCGTCTCTGAGTTTGCATTCTCCTTGCTCTGTGGGCCCAGTTGAGCTCCTCGGTTTGAATTGCTTTGTGTCATGTTTGCTCTGCTTAATAATTGAATGAACTTGGGAAGAAGCAGGGACTGACTCACTATTTACGTAAGTTACAGCTAAACAATGGTGCTGCCTAGTGTGAGTGCTTAATGCAGCACAGGGCTGTCTGGGTGTTATCACACTTTCTGCTGCCTCTTTGGCGAAAATGAGCGCCGACTCCACTCGTGCTAAAATAATCAACACCCTGTGATTTATTTGTTTTTCTGAAGCTGGAGATCCCATTAGAGATTATCTGCTAAAATCTTCAGAGTTTCTCTAAATGCGTATGTGCACTTTCTTTTTGAAATATCAGTAAACAGTGTGTGAGCCTAACACCTGATTGTATAACTAGATAAAGAATTTTGTGTTAATTTGCTGTGTTTCTGGTCTTGAGGGCTTTTAGGCAACTCTCTGCTTCTTAGGGTCAGAAACATTCAAACAGAAATCAAGAACAAAGTGCTGTCTCACTTCCAAGTTATTGAAGTGGATACAACAGGGTGCTAATCTCTGAGAATGATCACAGAGTCAATATTGATGCCATTATTTCTCGGTGATCTGGCAAATAAGTCCATCCATCTCATTCCCTAACTACCCTGCTGCGATCCGACAGTGCCGATCACTGCAGCGCCGTGCCGCCGGGCAAAGAAATCATCAGACTGAAACTGCATGAATCCTATGTTAAATTTAGAGAATTAAGCTTGTTTGATTAGGAAATTGACAAGACCACGCTTGTTTATTTTAAAGATCCTCCTGTTCAAGCATGTTGTACAACCTTTAGCTGTCATCTTAGCTCACTTAAACTTTTTTCAAAGTTTTTCAAAGTCTCAATGAGATTAGTGGCAATGAAGGCAGCCCAAATAAAAAAGTCCAGCAAAAACACTGTCTCGAGATCTGTATCTTCACCGTGTTAGAGGACATAGTGCGAATGTGGTGTTTAGAGTCTTCTTCACTTTTCTCCGGTGTGTAACAAATCCTATGGATCAACATGAGGAGACATCCTCTGTCATTGAAAAGTATTTCTTAGAACTCTGCTTGCCTCTGGTGATGTTAGTGTGAGCTCACATACATGTGACTGTCATCAGATGGCAGAGCGGTAACAACGAATGACTTTTTAATGCTGCCTGGGTGATTTCCAGCTCTCTGTAATACGTCACATGACGCATTATTTAATGTAAGGTTTGCTTTAGAAGCAGGAATGTTAAAGGTCAGAAAAAGGATATAAGAGCTTTCATCAGTGAGTCTGTATTCATTTTGCCTCCTTTGGGATAATAGGAAGCGCATGCTGCAGACTAGCACGTGTTGTTGTTTGGGTTTATTAAGTTAGAAGAATGACACAGGACGGCTCACACAATGAATGAAAAGAGTCCAGTGTTGAGCTGTAAAGTCTTGTTATGTGCTAGTTAACAGCAGCATCTGCTGCCCTCCTTTCAGCCAAATGCAGGGTGTGAAACTGAGCCCATGATGTTGCTACAGAGTTGGTACCGTTGTTGAGACTAACTGTGAGTTAAAAGATATCATACGTAACATTTAGACTAATTAACATCTATGACAGAGTTATACTCACGATCATTCACACTCTTGTTGATACCTACACCAAAATCACTCGTTAACCTAGTGAGCATGTCTTTGGACCGAAAAGCCCTGCAGGTACAGAGAGACATGCTAACTGTAAAACTATTGATGTGAAGCTATAATGTTTTGATATAAAACTGCAAACCTTTTCCAATCAGCGATCACATTTTTGAACCGTGACACGAGAGTCGGTATTTATAGTCAGCTGATATTAGCATGACTGCTGTAAAGTATTGGTAAACGCAAGTAAGGCTGTAGTGTCGCTGCTTGAGTAAGTGTGTCGTTTTGGCGTTATTTACCTTTTTATTTGAAAGAGGAACCACAGAGGAACTATATTATTATCAAGCCAGTGATTTATGACCTTTATCGTGTGAAAGTACTTTACCTGTGTGCAGGACCTGGCATGCTTAGTGATCCATGGTATAAAGTATCAGGGTCTGGGTTATACACTTTGAGCTCACTTTGAGTCTCTGGCTTCTCTTTCATGCTCGTGACTCCTTCTGTCATCTTTGCGCCTCTTGTAACCTCAAACATCACTTCCTTTTCTTGGTTGGCTCTTAAACACCTGTAAGGCAACCTTCACCCTGCAGCTCGTAGTGGCCCCCCGTCTGATGTTTGTGAACATGCAGCTTTCACCTGCTGCTGCTCACCATGTACATGAACAATTATATAAAGGTATAAATGTGAATAGCACGCCACGTCTCTTCTAGCTCTAGCTCTCCTTTTTTCCACCTCATGATTTGTCTTTTCCTCCAGGCTATAAATCACCCTGCCTTTTCAAATCTTACGTTTGCCAGGACGAACAGTGAAAATAAATTGCATTAATGAGACATCGAGGAGAAGCAGAAATCCGATTTTCTGTCGCAGTCTTCAGCTCTGACTAATGCATTAATGTAGTTCCAGAGGATTGCGGGTCATCCGGTGATGAAGATCTGTAAATGTTTTTGTCACTGGTTCTGTTCTCTGTGTTTTTATCTTCACTTAAATCTCGTCAAGCACAGCAGATCCACCTCTACACTGTGCATTATCTTCTAGACGTGCTGATATTCTGTTCTCCAAGGTGGTTTTTTTGCGTCTTTAAGAATCATTTCCACTTAGTCATTAAGTATTACTGTCAGATCTTTTCATTTCAGTTGCTGCACTGTTCCACCTTTGTTCCATATCACTTCCGTCCCCTCGCTCTGTCTCTCTCTCCCTGTTTTATGTTGATGGTACTGTTAGTCTGAAGAAATGCTAGAAGGGTTTTTCTTCACTCGCAGAAAGTTTTCAAAGAAAGCCAGAAATGTCTGTTGGCTAGTGCTTCCTCCTGCTTTTTGCCTTCTGCCTTTTCGCTGTGCGTTTGTATTCAGCAGGAAGGCTTGTAGAATTACTACGGCTATTTTCTAGTCTTTGGTGTTAAACATCCCGTGGCTAATGTTCCTCACGTCCTGCTCTCAGACCTGAAGCTCTCATGCTGGCCCAAAGCTACCTGAATTCCAAACTCAAACATTTCCTGTGGCTTAAACTTCCCTTTGATTTTCCCATTTCTTCCTCTGCAGTATTCAGCGGGCAGCTCTGGCCATCATAGAGCACTACTACTGTGACTTTCCGGTTCATAACCCAGCGCTGCTTTCCGCCTCCAAGTCCCGCTCTGCCAAGCATCTGGCTGGCCTCAAGGTGTACAATGTGGATGGTGAGTTCCCAGCAGCCCCTGCTGAGGGTGAGTGGGATGCTTCATGTCTTCAGTGATTTTGATTGTTCTTTGTGCTCTGGGGTGGTGGATTCTCAGAGGTCTGCTTTTCCTTCCTTATACTGATCTGTTTGGGCAAACTGTGTGTTTTACTTATTACAACTATCTGTTCAACAAACTGATTATTGTTCAGTCTTTAAAATGCTCACGGACACTGAATATTTCCCTGTTTTCAGACTGACCCACAGCTCAGATCTTTTATCCCGTCTTCCTTCTCTCACCCCAACTAGTCACAGCAGATGGCCCCGCCCCTCCCTGAGCCTGGTTCTGCTGGAGGTTTCTTCCTGTTAAAAGGGAGTTTTTCCTTCCCACTGTCGCCAAAGTGCTTACTCATAGGGGGTCATATGATTGTTGGACCTTTCTCTGTATGTATTATTGTAGGGTCTACCTTACAATATAAAGCGCCTTGAGGCAACTGATGTTGTGATTTGGTGCTGTATAGATAAAACTGACTATAAAAATTGAATTGAATTGAAATCTATAGATTTAAATAGGATTTTGACATTTAAGAATCAGTGACATTCGGTAAATGAGTGATTAGACACCAAAACTGTTTCTCAATTCTTGTTAGTTTAAATGATGTGGATTAGTTATCTCATATTCAGATTTGTAGTTTGACCACTGACCCTTTTTAAACAACATGTATTTGATATTTGAATTGCCATAATGCCTTTAAACTCCAAGGATTCATATTCGCGCGTTGCCTTTTTTTGGCAAAGTCTCCAAATCTTCTCATTTGAAAACTTTAACAGCAAGTTTGTCTAATATTTTGCTTAAAAAGAATCAGCCTCAACTGTGATCCAGTCTTCAGGGTCATGTTGATTGTCTGGTCACAATTTCCCACACTACATAATGAGATATGACTTGTTTTGTTTAATGACAGAGCAGCAAGAGTCAGACTGAGAAAACCAGCAAATGTCCAACGATTGGCAACATTGTTCCAGTTAATTAGGCTTATTCGCTTAAACGGTTCTGGTCTGTTTATGACAATTAAACTAAATATGGCTGTCTCTAATTATATTTAATATAATATCTGCCAATATTTTGCCCTCATTTCAATGTAATGTGACCACTTAACTGGCAGAATAAATACATCTTTAACACCATTACACAGAGGCCACATTGTTTTTGAGTTAACTGTTAGAAACTGCGTTTTTGTGCAGCAGTCGTTCGCTCCAAATGACATTTCAAGTCTCTGCAGGTCGAATCTCCTTAGCTGTGCTGGAATGTGCTAAAACATATAACTGCCTGGAAGGAAGAAAATTGATCTGCAGTCTTGGCATAATTAGAAAATTGACCAGTGTAGTATAAAGCACAGGTGATTTGTAGCTGATGTGTTACAACATGCAAAAAAAGTGTGGCTATCTATATCGCCCCGGGCGCACCTTCTGGAGCAGGTGGAGTGTTTTAAACTTGCTCTTCTCTCTGTGTTTTTCCTCACACTGACGCTAACCCGTTAAGACATCTTTAAAGCTAAACTGAAAGCCTACCTGTTGGACAGTAAGTAAATGCAACGCTGCCACCAATAAAAGTACCCTCACAGCCTGCTGGTGCTCGCTTTAAACAAAGATATTCCTTCAATGTACTTGAAATGAAAAGCCCCCACCTCCCCCACCCCACTTCCACCCACTCCTATTCTCTCTTTGCATGCCACAGGTTGATGAAAAAGTTCAGCGTTGTCCTTACAACAGCTGGCAGAATGCAACACAAACCCTCGATTAAATTATTGCAGTCCCTTAAGTGTACTCAAGCTTCACTTAAGTGCACTAACTCGACTCCCACCTCTCGGTTTGGTGTTTTATTTTCCTGCCATTTATTTCCCTCCTTTCTTCCTCCTCCTCTCAAATGTTCGTGGGAGGCGTTGACGGAGATGGCTGATAAATCAATAGCTATTACAACACCAGTATTCTCATTTCTCTCTCGAGCCTCATCCTCCTTCATTTTCCTCCCGCAGCAGCTGCTCGGGGACCCCTCCGTCGCTCTCATCGCTCTCTTGTCTTGAGCTTTTACTTCCTACTTCTTGCTTTCTGCGGCCACACTGCTACTGTAATAAATAATTCTGACTCAGGGACAGACGATAATCATTTCTTAATGAAAAACTGGTGAAGCTCTGAGCACAAAACAGCCGTAATACTCGATTAGACTGCGTCCAAATGGCTTCGGGTGAGCTTTGTGATTCCTGGAACAACATTTTAACTGTGTTGTTTAGTCAGCTCAAGTTTCTGTGACTGAACTACCAAATCAAAGAAGCGGAGTGAAATACAGTCACCGCTGTTACAGGTATTTCCTGTTGCAGTCATGAGTGATGGTGCCACTCTTTCAGGCAGCATTAAAAGTCTGATCTGCGTTTTGGATCGTCGTCCCACTTTCTTGTCTGATTGTATGACACATTCCTGAATCTGTGGAATATTCTCATTTCTGTACATGCAATGCTTCCTAATATCCATCGCCCCAGCGCTGGATATTATCTCCCCATTTCTTAACAGTTGGCGACAGTTCTGCTTCATCTACATGCAGCCTAACATTGCTCAGACTTTAAAGAAAAGCTCTTTTTAACCACGGCTGTTAACAAGATTAGTATCATTTTCACTTGAAAAGTCCACACAGCATTTCATGTGTCCACAGGTACCTAAGCAGTTACACACAATGACACTGTGTGAATAGTACAGGTGGGACTCACCACACATGAGATTCATGATTTTCAACATTTTGTGATACGTACATCTGTTAATATTATTTTATTGATGTAGCTTTAAACTGTGAACTGGTTGTAAACAGGATGTACGATCATGTGGTGTGGCCTTATGACTTCACAGTGTCGGAGAATTCCCAAGTTTATTTGTAAATTTGTGGCTTTAATCTCAGTAATCCTTCTCCTAAACTATGAACCCCACTGCTCGGCTCGGTTTGTATTTGTTTTTGTTTTTTTCCAGTATCAGTGCCCCTGAGAAACCATCATACTCCAGATTATTATTGTTCACACCAATGAATTTTCACATTTGAGAGATACAGTCTTGAACTCTTGAAGACCCTCTAGACTACTTTTACTTCCACTCGACTTCTAACCGACACGTGTTTCTGTTGTAAGTGTGTCTCGTAGAGTTATTTGAAGTCTTCCGTACAGAAAGCGCCACATGGCAAATTCCAAGTGCACCTTCCTTCCCCTGACATTTAGTGTAACGTTTCCCGCCCGTAAACCTCATGTCAGTGCAGTGATGCCAGGAGCAGAGTTGGGAGGGGGGGTCCATGAATTATTCTGTTCATGCTCGATCCCTGCCCCGCATTAATAATTCACCAGCGCTGCCATCTTTTAACCTGCATTAACATCAGGCGGGGTTCATCAGCCGCCTCCGATTTCTAATTCTAAAAATGTAAACTTTTGAAGTTGCCCGAGACCCTCATTTAATTGCACTCCCCGTACCTCCTGAAGGCAGAGTAATGGAAGTGTTTGCATATCAATGGCCCGTACATGGGGGAAGGAATGCGTTTTGGATTTTCCACTGATGACATCGCTCGGAACAATAAAAAATTCAGACTTTGTGCAGCTCTTCTTGTCAGCTTCTGGGGTTTTAAGTGTTGCAGGTGATAAAAGGAAATGGACTGAGGTTTATGTGCATTAATAATCTCCCCCCTTCACTCTAACAGCAGCTTGTTCTCTCACATTGCACTCTGTGTCATCACCAAAGATTTCTTTCTTCCTTCACCGGCCGCTACCACCTGTGAACACTCTCATACATGCGTTTAACCCTTCCCGTCAATCTGATTTTGCCGCGGCAGGTCCCGGAAACAACGCAGCAGCGGGAATCGCCCATTCTCAGTCCAGAGCGATGATCGCAGCTGCCGCCCGCCGCAGAGACACCAGCCACAACGAGCTGTACTACGAAGAGGCCGAGCACGAGAGGCGCGTCCGCAAACGCAGAGCACGGTGAGTCGGTCAGATCAAAACGCGTTTCAAGCAGTAAAACACAAAAGCCTGCTGTTATTGAAACTGCTGTTGTTTGCTGTTTCCCCTCCCAGGCTGGTGGTGGCAGTAGAGGAAGCGTTTACACACATTAAGCGCATGCAGGAGGAAGAGCAGAAAAAAGCACCTGGGGATGTTATGGACCCTCGAGAAGCAGCACAAGCCATCTTCCCATCCATGGCTCGGGCTCTGCAGAAGTACCTGAGGACCACCAAGCAACAGCACTGCCACAGCATGGAGAGCATCCAGCAACACCTGGCCTTCTGCATCACCAACAACATGACGCCCAAGGTCAGTCCTGTGACCTCTACACACGGCATTCGGCCTTTCTTTGGGGGTCATTTCAGTGAATTATATTTATATAGTGTCAAATAAGGTAACGAACCTACAAGGAAAACAGAGAGAAAAACCCCAACAATCGTATGACACACTACGACCAAGCAAAAGTGGGAAGGAAAAGCTCAATTTTAACAGGAAGAAACCTCCAGCAAAACCAAGCTCAGGGAGGGGCCATCTGATAAAGACAGGACATAACATGCTGTGGAAGAAGGCCAGAGATTAATAATAACTAATCTTTAAATGCATTTTTATAATATAATGGTTTCATACTTCCTTCTTTTCCAGGCGTTCCTTGAGAGCTACCTGACTCCAGGTCCAACCGTTCAGTACAGCCGGGACTTCTGGCGAGCCCGTCAGTGGACGCTGATCAGCGAGGCGTCAGTCACCAGCGGCCTGAAAGACGGCACCATCTTCCTGCTCAAATGTGTGGACTTTAGCCTGGTGGTGACATCCAAGAAGATCCCCTACATCCAGATGTCCGAGGAGTACATCGATCCCAAATCACACAAGTTTGTCCTGCGGCTACAGTCGGAAACATCTGTGTAGGACGCCAGATGTTTTATTTTTATTTCACACCCTGTTGCTCTCCAATATTTTCATTTTGGGTTTTGCAGTTTTCAATTTTTACTTTTTTAAAAATATATTATATATGAATCTAGCTATCGCACACGTTTGAATATATTGATCTTTTATTGTTGATAAAATCGAAAAAAGAAGAGTTGCAGCAGGATTTTTGCTCACTGGAGTTTGGACGCGGTTGAGTGCACATGCTCTGTGTGTGTGTGTGTGTGTGTGTGTGTGTGTGTGTGTGTGTGTGTGTGTGTGTGTGTGTGTGTCAAAACAATCACCCCTTCAAACAAGATGGGAACAAGTAGCATTTAAAGGTTGACATCTCCACAGAGAGCAGTTTTTGTGTTTCCATGAGACGGACAGAGCAACAGGAGGAAAGTGTGTTGTTTTGTTGTTTTGTGTACACTTGGAACTATTTGAATATTTTTGGACACCAAAAAAAATAAATGGACTTATATATACAAGAATGAAACAACTTCAGTTTCAGCATTAAATGCACATTCACATGACGGTGGGAATGATCTCAGTCTGCACATAAAGGAAGAGGCACGGCCTCCTCAACACTTTTTCCTGACAGCTGAGACGTCACACTCCACCGTGTCCATCCTGTGGCGTGCGGCCCACGCCCTTGAGCGCTAATTTTAGCAGCCAAAGTCGGGACTCTTTGAGTTGTTTTCAGTTCCTCTCCAGGTGCAACGGAGCACAAATCTGAAACCTTTCCACTCCAGTCAGGAGCGACGCAAGCGTGCCGTGTTTGAACACCAGGGTGAACTTGGCATGAACCGGATAATAGGAGACGCACTGAGATGGACACGTGCCCAAAAACATTTGCCCTGCCTCAGCGGTTCGGTAACCTTCTCAGGGCTTTCATGTCGCCCACATCTGCCTGACGTGATGGAAGGGGAAGGCAGCGGGAAAGAGAGACCCAGCCATCATGTTGGAATTAAAAAGTACTACTGATTTCTCCAGACTTTGGGTTACAAAGCAGATGTATTCATTGTGTGTACATTCTCCTTTAGACCTCAGTTTTCAAATAATGGTTGAAGTTACAGGTAACACCTCTCCCACCTGGCGTGAGGTGGGCGTTAAGTTACCATTGTGTCCATTTTCACAGCACTGACCCTCCTTTTTCTAAACTACTGTCTGCAAACACTCCACGTTTCCTTTATTTTGTTTGGGTTTTGACATATGTATGCACACGTGGTGCAAGTATGCACCTTTTACCTTTAACTTACCCCTGCTGCAATGCTTTTAATTTGAAAATTCAAGAGAAAATGTAAAATTTTCTTCCTCTGTAGTGAAGTGAAAACAGACATTAATGCTTAATTTGCAAGATGAGCAACTAAACAACTGGCTTAAACAAACAGCAACATGTAAAGTCTGATTCCATCTTTCAGGGCTCACAGGGTGTCATTATGTATGATGATAAATCACCAGAGTCTTTATCAGCAGTGAGAGCTGCGGCAGCAGGGCGGAACCTCCTTCCCAACTGGACTGTCTGGTTTTCCTTTACTGCCTCGTCTCACCCCTGTTGTCTGACAATTCCCTCGAGGTCAGTCCTTTCATGGAAGGCTCAGAAGGGATTCTCTCGCCTGCTGAATGGGTTTACACCGGCAGGCCAGAAAAATACAGTTAAATGAAGTTAAAATGACACGTGTCTGTTCCTCTGTTACTGTCGAAACTGATAAAACTGATCTGGTAAAATCACCAAAGAGGGGGAAAAAAAGAAGAGTCGCACTGAGCACGCTCAAGAAGACATGCAAGCAGTATAGCTTTGCCTGTGAGCAAGGTTGTCCCCTACTGCCCCCTGGTGATGCAACACAGCATTGTCACTGCATGTTTTCAGACAAAAAGAAAAAAAACTACTGGTAATTTTATACTATAATTATTTCACTGTAAACAAAATGTTAAAACACCTGCAAAAAAGTCAGATACGTGCTGTTTTCTGTGTGACACGTCCACAGCAAATCTTTTTTCTTTTCTTTTTTTAAATTTTAAACACGTGTCATTGGTCAGATTTTGTACCAACTAACTAAACTTTGTATGATCCTGATGTGATGGTGCCTCCTGTTTTTAAACTGTATCTATTTATGTAAGCGTGTGTGTGTTTGTGTGTGTGCCATTCCAGTTCACACAACCAGCCCCAACCCGACCCCCTCCTCCACCATCTGTCATACTGTTGCCAAGTTACAGTCCTCTGTCATGGATTGGTTTCTGATGGGCGGTTTTCTGATAATGAACGTGACGTTGCAATTTAAGATGTGTTTCGATCTCACAGCGTTAGCGTTTGTAGAAAAAAATAAATCATTTTTATGAACATTTGTAAAGCTGCTGAGTACTGGGCTGCTCTTTTTACTTCCAGGATTACCTTAAGTGTTTGTGACATGTCGAGGTAACCCAGGATTACGCCATCACAGTTCACACTCACTCTAACTTTTTTTTTGTTAGATTTTTCCAGCAAACACATCACAGCCTGCTGTCCAACTCTACACCATGGCGATCCATTTTTAAATGTTCCCAGTTGTAGTCTTTTTTCCTTTCTTATCTCCATTTCTCACAAACTAACAAGTCTTCTGTTCACATCATCGCTATCTCCATATGCACTCGTTCGCTGCCCTGGCTGTATGCTCGCTAACACTCTATTCTGTCGTTGCAAATTAAGCGGCCGGTCGTGCTTAGTGACACGCCTGAGCAAAATATCATCTTTTTTGGCCATATTTTGGTGGCTTTTTGTTGTTATGGAGCTCAGCGGTAATTGGCTTGCCGTCAGCCTGTCAGAGCGGCGCAGCCGGCCCTTGTGGGTAAATGAATGTCAATGTCGCTGTCCAGTGCTGAAAACGAACAACCTCATCCCTCCGTGAGCCCCGGGTGCAAGGCCGCCTGTCGGAACTCATCTGTCCTTGGCTTAATCCCCCTCCCGTACCCACCTGCTCCATTGCAGAACCTGGGTGAGAAGGAAGAGACATTGGTAGAGAGGAAAATGAGGAGCATTTGCATCTAAATGGAATGTTTTCTTCCCTTCATTTCTCTCGCTCTCACTTTTGTGTAATGGCTTGGTTATGTGTAGATGGAGACATGAGAGTAAATCCCCTCTTACTTCTTGTAGCTTTGATTTTGAACAGAAATCTGCACCTTAATTCATCTTACTCCTGTCTTTTCTTTGTTCTTTGCTGTTTTTATTGAACCTTAGTCAGTGTGGTTTTGTAATTCCTCCTCTCCTGGGAGAAAGGAGAGAAATCGATCTTGTCCTTCATTTGGTCAGTCTTCATGTAAAACCCCATCACATCTGATATTCACAGCGACTTTGTCACCATAAAGCACTCGCACAGCATCCAACACTTACACGAGAGAGTATGACATGTCTAGTTGCCCCAGGGTCATGTTTTAAATGTGCACACACTTGAATGTTTCTCATCACCTGGCATAGATTAACTGCAAATCCCCCATCATGATACAAACATCCTATTGACACACTACATCACATCCTCCTCCAGGGGAATAACGAGTCTTGCACGGCCTTGTATTATTAATTCATGCCTAGACTTACAGTTTCATCAGGACTCTGTCCAATCCTCATGCAGCTCGTCGGACCCCAGAGTGCCACGTTTGAGCCTGTCTCACCCTGATTCTTTCACCTCCGACCTCCCCCAGTTTCCAGCGTCCAGGTCCCTACTCACATTAGGAGGCATAACAATACTTAATTATTTACCAGTGTTTGAATAATTCAAGGTGAAACACCCATTTACTGGCTGAGAAAATGTGCCAATCTGATCTGTCCTGGGAATAAGTAAGGACTTCCTTAATGAGGGTGAGAAGGGAATGAAGATACTCACAGGGGTTTTTTTT